CGGCGAGCCACGACAGCCACTAGCTCTATTGCTGAAATCGAAGTTATCTTCCGAGCCCTCTCAACCCGGAAACCCTCTTCACGATCAATGACACGCCTCCGATGATCCTTGAGAGACTCCCCGACGCTTCTTACACTCATCCGCCGATCGTTATAATCGGTTGCGACTCTACCGTAACTCGTGGACCGTTCGTTACGTAAGTCCGTCTTACGTAAGTGTGTTATAGCTCCGAGAAAAAAAATTATTATATTAATTTAATTAAACTTCGATGCGCCATACAGGCGATAATCATATTTCTGCTTTCAAATGCCCAGAAAGTCAAGAAGTTACTTCAATCGAAATCGCGGAAAGCCATCGGCAAGTTAGCGAAACGAAAGTTGTCAAGGATATCGTAGCAAAACTTCTTTAAAATAAAAGTCTAAACTTCTCTGAGAAATAAGTAATTCAGAAATCCTCTTCAGGATAAACCACACGCTTCGATGATTTCATAGATACCATAGCCAATAAATGCCCTTTTCGTTTTCATAGAAGACGATTTTATCACATTTCATAGATCGTTTTTTTTATCGTCGAGATTAATTGTACTCTTTTATCATAGAGATGCAATAGAGAATCTTTACGTTAGAATTAAATACAATCACTCGGCCTGCCACACTTGTCAATCAAAAATCATGAAAAGAACGAGGAAAACAAGGAAATCAAAAGCAGGATTGTCAGAGCCGATTTTTCTTAAAACGACAATCCATCAAGATCGTACGTGCGTTATTTCCGTGCGTTATTTTCCGACGGATGTTAAACAAATTGTTGTAACCCGGGCGAAGGAACATTTATCATACGGTTTCAAAGCGTTACTTCAGTTCGCCCTAGGCTCGGCGACTTTTCATCGCGGGACACACGCGTACGGACGAGCGAACGTATGTGCGGCGGCATCGATCATGCGGTCCGCTTGTCGAAGATGTCACCGGAAAGAAGATAGAACATTTAATCAAGGAGGCTTTCGGTCGGGACTTCCCCTTCATCGGAATGCGCAATTAGTTTGAGGCTCGCAGAGCCGCGTGTCGCATACGCCGCATTCCGGGCGGCGTATTTTCCGAAAATCGTGGCCAACTACGTTAATACGCGTCAGATATCGGGGCGCCATCGGGCGCGCAGCCACCAGCCGGATTGTTAATTCGATGTCGCACGCGCGCGTCTGCCTCGTTAGAAAACAATCTCGCTAATTCGCGCGAACGCGCTTTCGCGTGCGGCCCGTTAACGCGGCCCGCCGTGATCCTCGATAAATCGAATAATCGAACCGTACGCACGGACGCGGTTTAAAACGCTAAATAGTTCGCGAGCGAGCGAGCGCGCGCGCCCGGGTGCGTCCGGACGGACAATAATAGCGCGATCGATCCGACGGGGCTATCGTTAAAACGCACTCGCGGCCTGTCTCCAGCCGTGGCACCGATCCGACGACAACAATTTTCCGTGCCGCATCTGCTCGCTGACTAATGAATTCGCGGGACGCATTCCCAGATAGGGACGCGGCCGATGAGGGAGGGTCGATGGTCCGCGCGACTCGGTAGAATGGGAGACGATGCATAAACTGTTGCATAATGCACACTTCATCGCGCTGCCGCTCGTTTCCCCGGTTTACACGGTATCTCGCACCGACTTCGCCCTACAGCCCTGCCAGTCTGGACCGTACTAATCTGCAATGATACTGCGGTATGTTCGCTCACACCCCTCTTTCTTCAACATAAATATCCAGGAAACTTTGCATTCGCGAACACTTCGAGCTTTCAGTTTGTAACGATCGCGATGAGATTGCCGTCGTCACGCTGCGCGTTACGTAAGAGTGCGACCGAAATTTGCGAGGAATTTTCGCTAATTTATTGCCGCAATTAGATTTTATTAACCAGAGATAACGAGAGATCTTTTATTAAACGGAATATTGCATTTGTGCGGCAAAAACTTCCCGAATAACGTAAAGTGTTTAATATGTTTACGGAAAATATAACGACAGTAATTATAATCGCGTTTTTACAAGCATACGTAAGTTTTAAAGTTCAGCCAACTTTAGAAGAATGCTTCGACAACAGTTTAATCAGATTATTTTTAAAAAAACCCAATTGTCTGGCTAAAGATTATATTACATGCAGCAAAAAAAAGAGATACGAGTTAAAGGTATTCAAGCAGCTGAATGATCCATAAATCCAATAATTAGCTAATCGACTCCGGTATATACGTATCTCCGCCCGTATAATGGCACACGTGTACGCTTTCGTACACACGCGGCGATGCGTGTCGAGCTACAAGAGCGCGCGCGCCACGACATTATGTACGCGCCATCCTCTGATGTCGGTTGCGTAATAAGCAGCATCTCCTGTAATCTGTAGCGTTGTTACCACCTACGGTAATCGCCGTTGTAATTCATCAATGTCGCGTTGTTGCGACGCATGAAGCGTCAGCAAGAGGCGCGATTTCGAAGACGCGCCCGCGTGCGCCTCGAGTCGAAAATATGGACGCAATATCCCTCCCGCGGTGTCGTAAATTTTGCGGCGATTTTTGTGCGATTTTATTTATTGTATACCGCGTTTCGTCCTCATCGATCCGAAGCGTATCGCGATACCTATCTAGCGAACTACATATATACAACGCGCGCAACTTTCGTCTCGCATCCGAGTGCTATAAAGCGACCGTATGATGAGTATCCGATTGTTTATACGACAAACAAACGGTCCTGTTTGTGGCAGGCTAATCCTTGTTCTGCAAAATGAGTTTAACTTACCCGACGGATTATTCGGCCGGGGGCAAATGTAGTACGAGTTACGAATGTCCGTCGGCAGGCTATTTGTGCCCGGAATAAAGTGTACACACGAGTTGCCTCGTTGAAAATTGATCAACGCCTCGATTGTATTTCGCGTGGAGATACGGTCGCAAAATAATTGTACGGCAAAAAGATGCAAGATGACTCATTCAATTAGACCGCCAGGAATCGCGCGATTCATCACGACTATTCGTTAAGGGAACGTGGATTATTAAGAGACTCTCTCAACTCTGGCTCGCGCTATCCCGTCCCTCGGCGTAATCTGCATAATTCTGGGCGGCGCGACTGCTCGTGTTTTATCTCCACTTACACAGAAACGCCCGTCGGAGACGCCTTTGAATGCCACGGTAATCGATCAGCACTCGTTCACATAAATTTTCTGTGAACGTCTAGATGCCGGCGCTCAAACGACGGCTACATACCGAACATCTCTTTAATAATTTCATCTAGCGCGCGCGCGGGCGCGCGTATTCGTATCCTTTCATCCTTTGGGACGATAATCCCCCGTGTCTGAGTAGACTCCGTTTGCGGCAAATGGGCCGGAATAGAGAGAATTTTATCAAGTAAGCTCAAATCCTTAAAAATATTACCTTTATACGTAGATGAAGACCACTTATGCGCGTAACTATTATTCCACTTTATCCAAACTGCGATTATTTTTCGACCATTTTATTCAGCATGAATTTCCACTGATAATATAATTATGACTTGCGCGTGTTTAGTTTTCTTCAAAAATTTTTCGCCAGATTTAAAATATTTTTATCGCATATCATATTTCCACCCACACAGCATCTGTCGTAGTCAGCTATCATTTATTATGTAGAAACTCCCATTATCGCGGGAGACGCAACTCTACGGAAACGGGAAAGAGAAACTAAAAAAGAATGCGCAAGCGGAAGGAAGATCTCGAAAACCAGGTAATTTGCGCTCCCAAACAAGAATTCCTCGTGAAACTTTCAATCCAGTTTCCGTGCTTTCTCGTAAAATACTCTGTATTTCTCTCATGTCGCTTTGCGAGAGATTTCTCCTCCACAGAAACGAAATCCGACTAATTCATTCGTTGAATGTACTTGAGTTAATCCGTATTAAGAAGACTCGCTACTTGCCCGAGAATGCAGCTATGGAAGCGATACATTAACGTTTGATTGTTATTAAACGCATCATTGAACGGTTCAAATATTCTCGCGGTGCAACAATCAACCAAGCGCCGCACAAAAAACTCCCGATATTTAAGACAATACACGTATAAGTTTCGTATTTTTTTTTCCGCGCAAATTTGTACGGAAATTTAAGTTTTAGGCCCAAAGCACATCTCCGTATTATTCTATTCAAAAATAATCATCCACCTTAAAATTACACGCATCGAGAATGCGAAAAAGATAAAAGGAGACTCGTTCTCTTTAAAAATGTCAAGAAAATATTGACAGACTATATAACATCATAATTCTCTCTATCATAATAAGTTTCTATACTTTCTTTCTCCCCGGAAGGCCTCGCGAAATTGAATGTAAATACGCAAACACGATTCTGTCCCTTCCTCACAGCGAAAATCATCGTCTGTAGTTCAAGCCGCAGTTTGCTCGAAATCGTCCCTTCGAAATCGCTCTCGAATCGGCGTGCGCGCGTGGCACGGAAAAGAGATACAAGACGTAAGGGGCAGGCAGGGAAAGCGAGGAAAGGATGAAGCACTCTTGCGTTCAAGCAAAACGGACCAATCCGTCGTCGCCGACTCACACAGACGGTCCCCTAGGGGTTGACTCTTTATTAATTCACTATGAGACTAAACGGAATTACTTTGCACGCGCTCGGAGTGCGCGCGCGGCTTAGCTAGGGCGGTCGCTCGTACTCTAAGTCGACGACACTTTGCCGGGGCTTAGTTCGGCTTAGCGGCTGGTAAGAGCGAATCCGCGCGACGGCAAAGTGCCGCGCGATTTTGGCTCACCTCCCCGGGGTCCGCGCAGTTTCGGCGCAAAAGCGAAAAAGGTAACCGGAATCCGTCGCGCTATGAAATTTATCAGGTTCGCGAGATCTCGTGAACACGTAAGCTGTTTAACGGACGGAAAAAAGTAAAGGAATCATTTGAGTAATATATAGATACGATATGCAATAATAATTATAGAGCGAAAAGATAAATGCACCGCTTGCGACGTCGCAAATTTTATAACAAAATTTTATATAAAAAATTACTTACCATAATGCTGCTGCGACGTCGCCTGATGCCCCCTAGGCCTCCTCCTCATCCTCTCAGTTTTGCTCCTTCTGTGGCACTCACACACATACACAAATATAATCTCGCGTATGTATACGAATCGAAGATCGCGCGGTACTTGAAACGACACTCCCGGCATTACGCACTCCCGGCATTCGCGACGCGTACTTTATTATATTACGACCGAGGAAAATTACAGCGAAATTACGAGGGAACGAAAATTCACTAACACCAAAGCAGCACGAAAATTTACCTGTAAAAGACAAATTATTACATTTACATTACAATATTGCACTTAAAACGGAACTATAGTGCAGCTTAGCAATAATATTATTCGTAATAATAAATGAAATTCTGTGCCTTGGATTTCAAATTAATTAAATAGATGCGATGCCATGTGTTCTTGACCGTTTAAACGCAAGTTTAGATATACGCAACGCTTGGCGCGTCCATTTTACTGTTAACAAAGCGCTACCGCGTATAATAGCGTATCATCCTGACGCATGTTCTTAGCAAGTTTGCAATTATATGAGATACATAATTATACAAAATGGTCCATGGAACTGGACCGAGCTTTAACGTTTGTTCTGTTGAAGATGGAAAAAATGGTAAAGAAAAGAGTTAAAGAATGTAAAAAAATTTTTTGTTAAATATCTCGTGAAATATTAATTTGTCGAGTATCTTATCCTAATACTTTTATAAAGAGATTATTTAAAGAAACCTATTCATGTAAAAAATACATATTTTTATTTAAAAAAAAGTGTACCTGTACTTTTCTGACGCATTATTGCACTCACGAAAAAAATAAGACCATAGACAAATTTTTCATATTATGTGAATTTAACTTTTTCCTCTACCATTTTTTCCTATCTTCAACAGCACAAATGCTGCTCAGCCTAGTTTCGTGGACCACTCTATATACGTAATTGCTCGAGTAAATACAAAACTAGTTAAAAACTAGTTAAAAATTGTTTAAATTCTAAGGCACTAAAAAAATCTAATACAAAGAAAAGTAGAAACAAAATTTATGGAAAATCTAAATTTAATAATTTAAAAATTTGTAATTAAAAATAATAAAAAATTCAAGACATAAAGATCAAGAAAAATATAATTAAAGTTTAGAAATTTTTAACTTTACTATTTCTAAAATAAAGAGTCTGTAATTGACTCGATAACAGAAATCTCAAGATTTATTCATACAAAAATTTGACCATATTAATCATTTAAATCTGCAATATTTTAACCTTTCCTCAAGAACTCTTTTCAAACATTTTTTATTCATTACGAGAAACACATACAATTTGGAGAATTAATAGAAAATAGATTTCCATCCCTGTATATCGACCGCAACAATTATTGCGCGAGAATGTATGCGTCGTTCCAAACGAGAATCTCACGTAGCATGCTCACTTGCGCAGGTTAGGATGTATTACATACGAGCCGGAGGGGGGTGTGCCGGGAATGTTCGGTAATACGCAAAATCCGAAAGTATCAGGCATTTGGTATGGTCACGGTTGTACCCGTTAGCAGGCTAATTGGAATCCAATCAGCGCGATTAATCGTTTAACATGCCGCGCGCACGTACTGGCCCGCTAGGGGCTGACGGCGTTTAGGTATTTAACGGCGGGAAACCGCCGTCGATGCGTGGGCGTGTACCTCCGGCTATATTTTATGTTTAGTCCCGCTCCCTGCCGCATGCAGACAATCGCCTCTCTCCCGGCCTCGTAGATCCTAACTGGGAGATTCTCCTACTCGCTATCTTAACCTCATCGCATAGGGCGGAAAAAAAAACAGAGCGCCCCTTCTATGGACCAAACGATCGTCATTGAAGTCTCGGCGGAGATACAAATGCGTTATTACTAGCCGTTATTGTCAGAAGTACGACCTCTCTCGCAATTGCCACGAATGGATGTATCTGACATACGTTTCCAGCAGCTTCCCCACAAAGATTATATTTTGCCTAGTGATATTAAAACTCCATTTGTCAACTATCTATTATGTAAAATGATAAATTTTATTTTTATTTCTATAAATGCTGAATTTGTTTTGATTTATTTATTAAATAAATACAGTATAGAGTTAGTATAGCAAGATAAAAAAACAACAAAAAAGTAACGATAAACAAACGAGTAACATCGACCGCTCCTGAACATATTTGAAAATATTCTATTCAAAAAAATTCTATTCAATGATAAATTTATTCCGAAATATTGCTGCAAATACGGCATATGCTAGCGATATGCTTCGCGACGAGATATATTGAATTTGAAAAAAATAGTACCACGGCGATGGATAATCACAAATAATTCCAAACAATTCCAAGTGTTTTTCAAAAAACGCGCTCGCGAAAAGAATCAACATGTTCGCGTAAATTCAATTTAATATCGTTCTATTTGTGACCGTTTCTGCGATATTATTTTTACTCATCGCAATGCTTTTTTCTGCTTGTACTTATTCAATTATATTTATCTGTAATAAAAATACTTCTACTTGGCAACACAAATTTAAATAATTTTCTTTATTTTTAATAGCAATAAATATGTAAAAGTAAAAAGAAGGGGCATTTTCCTTGCAATGGGTATGCTATTGAACTTGTCGTGGAATTTTATATTTGTAAAGGGAAAAATATTCTAAATTATTTATGAAATTAATTTTTACGATGAGAGAATTACTGTTTTATAAAATAAGTTGTCTTTGAGTAATGTTATTTTGCGCAATATAAACAAAAAATATTGTAACGAAAGAGATATTCTATGCTACGATAAAATAATATTTGCTTCGCAATGGCACGTTAGAAAGTCTCACACTCCTCGATAGTGCATTAAATTTTTCAAATTACTCAGAATTCCACGGCGGCGAGTATGCGTTCTTCTCGACACAAATTCCCTACAGTAAACTACACGCTACGATATAATTGCGACGCAATACATACTTTTTATTGGCGCGTTGTTTGACCCTTAATTTCTCATTTCCAACGTCGCTCGATTTAATGAAATCGGTAACGAGATGCACGGGACATAACTCTCGGAAATATTCTACTTATTATATAATAAGTTTCTTCTCTATGTTACTATAAGGAAAGTCGTATAACGTCATAAAACCGCAATCCGAAAATACGGTTCAAACTCCGATGCGGAGACAAGCGGAACAAATTGCGAGCTAATCGTCAGTTCGTCTCGTTTTCGTTGTTTGACGAGAACACAGTTTCCGGACGCGCTAAGTCCCAGCTAACGAGACGAGGCGATTCCATTGCGACTACTCTCTAGGGCCCCGTCCTTTTTCCGCGCGCTCCTGTAGACGCTATTAATTAAATCCACTCGAGTCCGGGGCGTCGCTATGGCGCTCGTGATTATAATTTAAATGAAATCTCGTAATCTCGGGAGCAACCGGAACGGAAAGAAACACCGGGAGAGAAAAGTCAGCCCCGCTACCGGTGGCGGAGAACCCAGGTAAGTTTCCCACTTTCGAAACGGACGAGCGGTTATATACATTATACATATTTCAAGAGGAAAATCGGAAAGAAAACGAAGATCCCGGGGAGAAGATAGTTGCGGAGAACTTTTCCGCGTCGGGCGAAAGAAGCAGGGTAAACTCGGACGGCGGTGAGAGTAACTCTTCTCCGTCCGGCGAGATCTCGCATAATCCGGCCCGCGGAAGGAAAACGTCTAATCGAATCTGGCACCGGAGAATTACGAAGTACGAAGAGAAGCGAAAAAATAGCGAGTGGCGGGATATTCGAGGGATCGGTCCTCGCTTCTTCGATCTGTAACGCGATTAACGATTCTCGCCGCGACGAATCCAGGATACGGACAGGACTCGTCGTCCAACGGTGGCGCACAGAAGCATTTTACCACCGCGAATTTCCCTCTATTTCCTTCTCACCGCCGTTGGATCCCGTGATAAGCGAATCACCGGCGAGGTAAGCTAAAAAAATTGTTACGGTTCGGATGATCGATCGTCGGCAGCGGGGATTGAAGATTAAAGGCACGGCAAAGCACAGACTTTTATGTAATATACTACATTGCTGTCGCTTCTCTATAAGCAGATTACATCTCGCGTTCTGGGAAAAAAAAGCATCTGCAAAAAAATGGAGCGCTAATGTGTGATAGAAATTGCCGAGGAATGTTGACATTCGTGCTTCAAAATTGCAGTTATAGCAGCAAATTTATCATGCACTGATGTGATCTGATGCACGCGAAGAAGAGAAAAGAATAGCGAATTTTAATCGAATGGGAGATTAATTCTTGCTCGGTGTCCGGATACCGGGTCCGTTCGAGCGCATTTTTGCAGACTTTTGTATCACACTTGTGACTTTATTCACATCATTCGAGACAAAATATTACTCTACCTCTCGACCCTATTTTTAAAACCTGCCATGTTTTTTTTATTGCGACAGACCGTCTTAATAATTTATATCCATAGAATTTAGTATGTATAATCTGGAGAAATAAATAAGAAAATGAGTATACCAAGAGAGCAAAGCCAGAATTTATAAAACCTGTGTAAGACCGATAATGATATACGCAATAGAAACCAGAGCGGAAACTACTACCATCAAACGCCTCTTAGGAACAACAGAGATGAGAATACTGAGATCGATTACTGGGCGTACACTCTTCGATCAGAACGAGGAGATTAGAAGCACCTGCGAAATCCAGGACGCTGCGAGATGGATAAAGAGAAAACGAAGAGAGTGGAGGAACCATGTTGACATAATGGCGGAATCGAATAATCTAGCCAAAATAATAATAGTCGAAAGACCAAATACCACGAGACCACCTAGGAGACCGCCAAGACGATGGTACGAGAGCTGGACATTCTCTGAAAGCTGAGACGCACGTTGGTAACAATAGGGCAAAGCGCTATAAGAGGAAGAAGAATTTAGTATGTGAAACATTTGAATATGCGATAAGAGTTCTCTTCAGCACAGTTTATTGAATTATATTCGATACGTAATTTCGATGACAATCGATTTGAGCCTTTATACGATGTGCAATTTTCCCGTTTTTATGCAAAATACCAAGCACTTGAGTGTATGAAAGAGATTTATTATGCACGCGCCCGAGTACCACTCGCCGGATTCATATAACGAGTCGGTTACGGGGAAACAATAGCGACGCAAACAGCGAAGAAAGATCGCGAGAGTACTTCAACCCGACAAGTAATTACCGTCGTTTTGCCTTCATTGCACTATTAAATGAGGAATTTTTGCGAGACTCGACAAATCGTCGAGACTTCGACAGTCCTAGAGGATTTTTAGCGTCTTACTACTGTCAGAATATAGGACCGCAAAGCCAGTTAAGTTAAGAATTAATAGGAAATCAGAAAAATTGAAAAAGTAGTGTCCGCTCCTTTAATGTTTCTCTCTTACGCAAGGCAACAAAAAAGCTCTTACACAAGTTTAATGCTGAAGTTGAGCTCTCACGGGTTTTTCCAAAAAATGATAAAATTACATGAGTTAAGTTAAGTTGCCCGCACGGGCAATTTCAAAAGACGGTAGAAAATTATCCGAGTTATTCCGGTTGGCTGGGAAGCCATCGCACGTGCAGGGCACGCGTCTACTCAGGTTACGGAATAAATGATGTAAACGTAAGTTTTCGGGACTCTCCGCGAACCATGTGCGTAGAGTTTTTCTTCATCGAGGGGCTTGATTATTGAATCGCCGGAAGTTTTATGTTGCGTCGCTTCAAAATTATGTTAACGAATCCTTATCGAATTCACGGGACAAAAAAGGATTCAGTAGCGGAAGGCGGAGAGTAGCGTAAGAGGCAGATGGATTAGTCGGCGTAAAATCGCCCGTGATGTTGAGAATCGATCTTAAACTTGCGAAACGGGCTTAAAGAGTAATGACTAGCGGGAGACGAAGTTTTTCCGAGAATTGCAAAAAGATAAGAAGAATTTCGGACCGCTAAGTAGTGCGGATTGGAGATCTTAGACTATCGCGGGTGATAGCGCGGAAAATTGTACCTGGATTCGAATAGGAATCGTATGGAAAACGCTCGACAGGCGACGGTGCGTTATATTATTTATTTAACCAATTCTGCCGCCGCGGCCGTAATTGATTTTTGTTAAACATATTCAGTTTTCTTTAATATTGCTCTTTGCTTAATTCATTGCACTCACCAAAATCCTTACACTTTATTGATTAACATCTCATAAATAATAAATAATAAAGAAATGATAAATTAGTTACCTTGAAAGTTACTCTGTCTTGAATGATGCCTTCCGTGCCTCCTCCTTTTAACGATCCATCGCTGTTCTTCCATGATACTCAATCGCGAAATTACGATCACGCGAACAATAGAATTAAAATATGAGTGTAGCCCTTAATTCTATTAAGAGTAATATAGAACGATTTCCGTTGCCGTCTACTTTGATCGTGAGTGTGTACTACGAAGGGTAGAAAGATAATACGCACGTAGCAACGGCGCGCGTCTTAAATCGTAGAAAAACATACACAAACACTGACGTCACGAGCTAGACCGAAATACTTGGAACGCGCAACTCGGAGTTGTTATGTTTACGATACACACATATCATCGTGAGTGCGCGCGCTTTGTTTACACGCTATCTCCTTCGCACAAAGGCATTCGTGCGGGATAGATGACAACGGGAATCTCTCCGTCTTGGTATTACATTCTACATTGCGAGAGCGACAAATATTATAATATTGGAATCTTGGAAAAACAGTCATCACACACAATACAAATAGATCGTTAAGATGCACAAAAAACATTGAGCAAAATAATTTATCATTTGCAATTATGTATGCATACTATATGGCATATAAAATGCAAAATAAAATACATTTTGTATCATAAATATAAGTTATAAATAAAATTAATTAGGAGTTTCTTAAATAATTATAAGCAAAGAAATATTAGAACAAAATTGCAATGAGAAAAGATGTAATGTACCGATATTTTTTCAGTCATTGAACAAAGAAGTGATCTTTTTATTAAACGCGTTGAATTTTAAGATCCTTGAATTTTATGATGTTCAGTAAAAGAAAATCGTTGAGTACAATGCGCACCATAAAAACGAATCGATTATAGCAATTGCTGTGTCGATCAATAACTATATTTTTGTGGCATCAACGAATCGCGCATCCAAAATCGTACTTTGACAATTTGCTTTCTTGCAAAATCATTGAATGATTAAAACTATTGATAAGATTGCGTGAAAAATATACTTATGTACATTGAAACAATAATGGGCATTATATTCTTAAAATTTATATCTTAAGAATTTTAATTTACAAATTAAATTGTTTATATCTATCTTTCTAAAATTTATTTTCTTACATACACATATTTATATAATTTCTTTCCAAAATTTTCTAGATTTATAATTTGAAAATAATAAATTGCATGTAATTTTGTATTTTATCATTTACTTATAAAAATAAAAATTGCAAGAATTGTCAAAGTACGAGTTTTAATTATAAATATATAGTAAGTGTTAGTGAATGAAGACATGAGTGTTTCATGTAATTATGCAAGTATAATGAATGAATTCACTCACCGGTTGTTGTATTCTAGCTAAATCCGCCTACTTGTATCTGGAAAAATATATATTTTAATTACAAATTATTATATATTTTATGTATATTGTGTATTACATATTCTTGAATTATCTCAATTTACATGAAACTGAAACTGCATATAAACTACAAATCGCATAAATTAATATTTAAAAAATTTAATAAATATTTAATAGATACAGTAAATATTTAATAGATACAAATTGTAATCGTGCACGTGTATATTATTATAATTACATATATATTTAAATACTAAACAAAAATAATTTTATACTCACCGATTAATTAGTTAAGTTAGGTTAGGTTAGGTTATTGTAATTTGTTCCAGCCGCTACATTCTCCGAGCGATTCCGTCGAACAATTAAAATAGCTCTATCGAAAAGTTAATAAATCAACCTGAACAATACCTGACATCAACATCTATTATGTTATTGCATGCCCACCCTTCACCATTAATAATTGCAGATCAACACGAATTTGTCGTACATAAAATGCGAGAACGTAAACTGCGCTTTGAATTTCTTCAGCAAATATAAGTATTATTAAATCTTTTAGCGTTTTCGATTGAACGGATTTTAATCGATCCAAGATTGATTAATGACGTCATTGCTCCGCCAATAAAAGACTTGAATTCATAAAATAGTGATTAATTGATCAGCGATGAATCAAAATCCGTTCAATCGAAAACGCTTTTGAGATCGCGTATTTACTTGCGATCCATACAACAGCATCAATTACGATATCAGCAACGAAACGTTCTCAATCATGAAAATTTGCGGTAAACAATATACTGCGATGATCGTGCCTTACCTTAATCAGCGTCCTCGATGAAAATTCGCATTCCCTGTGCGCTTTTAACGGACAATGTATGGATTATTACAGAACGTCTGTACTTTGCGTTCTGATGCGATGCGTAAGAAGAGAAATCATCATGGCGGTCGGAGCAAGTGATATGCCAGAATGGACACGCTCGCGTCTCAATAGTACCATTGTTGGCCGGAGAGTGGCGCGCGTAGCATCTACATCGATATCGATACATTTTGATATTGGTAACATTGGCGATCGATGTTGTACACGAGTGCGAGATAAGATGCCTTAATGCCCGCTTCACATACAATTAATATCGTGCGCGCAAGATTATCATATTACACATTCAGCAATCCATGCACACTCAAAACGGCGACAATATAGCCAGGCTCGAAACTCGTCAGGCACGAACACAATAAGTATATTTTACCTGATTTTAATTTCCGAGGAGCTGAATTTTTACGCTACATACATCTAACAAAAAACATCACGCTTCAATTCTTTTAAAATAGAGTTGCAAATCGTGCATTTGTGGCATTGGAATTTGTACTCACTTGTAATCGCACCAGTTTCAATCCAGCGCCAATTACTCTACCCGCTGCAGATTCCGCCTTACAATTAAATTTGCTTTATGGAAAACTCGATGAATATCTGAAACCAGCATTTATTATTAATTTCGCGCTACACTATCGAATATCGCAGATTAACATCGCGAATTTTTCGCAGTGAATAAAACGCAAATGCAAGACCGTACCATCGCGCTTCGAATCTTTTCAGCGAACATAAGTATTATTTTCGTGTTTGTCTACTGCATCGGAATTCGTATTCACTTGTGATCGTACCGAAGCGCCAATTATAACATCAGCGACGAAACTCTCTTCATCGTGAACATCCGCAATAAATGATACATTCTGGCGATCGCGCGTTACTTTAATCGACACTCCCGACAAAAATTCGTACTCTCGGTGCGCTTTTAACAGGCAAAACATACGATACATCACGGAGCGTTTCGTACTCTGTGAACTGATGCAGTGTAATAGAAACTGTCATGGCGAGAGGGAAGAGGACGAGGTAGCGCGTGCAGCATTAATTGACAATATTGCCAATATCGAAATTTATCGATATCAACATATTCGGAACGCTACGCACGCCATCCTCCGGCAAAGTGGCAGCCTTTACTGCTCTATGTCGGCCCAAATGGTGAGTGCTACGAACGCTTCGTGATTAATCACATATTTCATCTGTCCAAAGTGTATAACGAATGTGAGTTTTTATCAGAAGTGTTGATTAAAATGACGAGCGATTGTCGGAATGTATCATTTATCGCGAATATACGCGATTAACAGCGTTTTGTCGCTCGCGTCGATATTCACACTGGATTGAAACGGTTACAGTTTCAGTAAGTAAAAATTTTGCCGCTTATTGCTCAAGCTGTTAAAACGCAATGTATTTTTTATTAATATGTCGAAAATTTAACTTGTCAGAATATAGTCGATTAAAGCTGCTATCGTTGTGTGTGTGTACGTTTCCGTAGAACCGCCAAAACAATTGTCGTTTACTTGCTTTCTCAAATAGCAAATGATCGTCATCTGACGTCATCATAACGGTTATTTGCTACTTGGGAATTGTCATGATAACGTCAGATGGCGATCATTTGCTACTTGGGTTAAATGCACGGATCGTTGACTAAAATTATGTGCGTGGACGCGTTGCAACATAACCTACATTTTATACGCGTTTGTATTTATTTATATCCGTTTTCGCGTAAATAAAGTGTGCAAGTTGATTTTTGCTCGGCAATGTTTTAATGCATATTTTCGATACTCATCTGTTCATCGATGGAACTGAGCAATGCAAAGGATGCCAAGCAGCCTAAGGCGGTAATTGCAACAAATAGAACAAACTGCAATATCCTAGCTGAGTGAGTAATCATGTGCTCATTATTAAAAAATGTTAATATTACAACTGTGACTCATATACGTATACACAGTTACAATTTATATTTATTAAATATTTATTAAGATGTTTAAAAATAATTTTTAAAATATTATTACATTTATTGAATATTCATTAAAATTTTTAAATAATTATGCATATAATTTATTGCATATAATTATATGTTAATTAAAATGGAAATAATCAAAGAATATATAATAACCAACGTGCATAAAATATATGATAATGTATAATAACTAAAATATATATGTATTATTTTACAGATATAGCTGATGGCATTAGCTAGGGTACAACGATCGGTGAGTGACTTTGTTTATTATATTTGATTGCACAAAATACTGATAATATCTTCTATTTTTTTATTTGCCTATATTTATTATATAATTGCTTAAAATTACACTTTGAGAATTATTTTCTTGTTTGCAATTTACAGTTTTACAAATAAATAATAAAATACAAAATTATTTTCTTTTTATCTCATTAATAAAATCTTTTAAATTAACAATTAAAATTAGAAGTTAATATTTAATAAATATAAATTTTCAGAATATAATATTCAATATAATTTCAACATACATAAATATTTTTTACTCAATTTTAATAGCAAATTAAACGATTCAGTATTTTTGCAAAACAGCAATTTGTCAAAATACAGTTTTAATTATACAGTTCATTAACGTAATGTAAAAGCAATAGTTTTTGATACAGTTGTTTATGTAGCAATTAGTGTAATCGATTTGCTTTTATGGTATACTCTTTGACCGAACGGTTTTACTGTTCAGCTGAACATTATTACAAAATTCGAGAACCTTTTAAATACAAAGTGCTTCATAAAAATACCTCTTTAACATAATGGCTAAAAAAATATCGACACATTGTACAATATTTGTTCTCACTATATTTTTGTTAGAATATTTATTTATAATTATCTATATATATAATTACTTAAACAATTTCAATGATTAAATTTACATGTAACTCTTAATTACGATACAAATTGCGTTTTATCTCGCGTTTGTATTTTGTGTACAATTTGCTACATGACAAAATCGTGATGTGAAATCGTAACTTTCGAAAGTGAAGAGCGTAAGTTGACTTTCGTTTGCACGTAATGCACGTGGCTAAGTGCGGATTTCCGGCATTCGTCGATCCTTCGATCGAGTTGACGCAGAGCAGTCTAGAATAAACTCTCAGCAGACGGTGTAAATTACAATATTTTAACTGGTGAGTACAATTATTTGTTTATTGAAATATTTGATTTGTTGATTATTTGAAATGTTGATTTGTTTATTATTTGTTTACATATGTACATAATTATAACACACACGTACACAATATAATTATAATTATAATTAAACGCAAAAACCTGAATCAATTTTGTGCATGAAGGAAAATTGTATTTATCGCGTGATACAAAAGCAAAGGATATATTAAAGTAACAGTATTCTCTCTCCATTGTCAGAGAGTTTCCGATTCCAAAGATTTCGCGGAACGAGCGAGAAAGAGAGAATGCCGAGAGTGGTTTTAAAGTAGACGTGACGCTACGCGTAATATCGATTCGCGCAGGATGAAAGACGGAGGATATCACGCGAAGGAGGATGGGCTGTGTATGAGTATGTGTGTATCTGCGCGTATGTTGCGTGTGTGTGTGTGGTAAAGGGAAAGACTCCTTTCCTCGCGTAGCACGTACCGCAGGGTACCGTTGTGCGAGATCCTCGGGGGTGACAATCTGGAGGAAAGTAGGCAGAAGGGGATGGCGGTCGCGAAAAGGGGGTGGAATACGGGGCAAGGGAGTACGTATCTGCATATAACCCGGTTTCTCACTCACGCGCTCAGGCACTCGGCCAGGTAGCGATAGATGGAACGGGTTCCCTCGGGAAGTGGCCCGTTCCGTCGCCAGGTCCGCCGGATAGCCTTGTAGAAGACCGACCACTCTGCAGGGACCGGACTAGTGCTTCTCAAACACCGGCCGTACCGGCCGGCCAGCCGCTCCATCCTTCATTATCTTGCTCCTCGTTCATGCCATTCTATCGAGCGGAGAGAATCCCACGAGCGAGAGTCCACGTGCCGCGCAAACGTAAACGCGACGAGAGTACATAAAGCCTCTAGAGTGAATAATAAGACGCCACGCGACTGAGATCATTCTTAACTACTGTAGGATAGAGGAGGAGGAATTTTGACTTGATTCTTGAGAAAAGGAGATAGGAGGGTGTTCAATTATTTGAGTTTTTTTATTGACCTACTTGTTATAATTCTTATTTAGATTTTTCATAAATTTTTTTCTGATTCTTTTTTTAGATAATCTTATAATAATAATTTTTTTTTCAAAATGAGTCTAAGCGAATTGGAACAGTCAATGAATAGCAAATTAGAGAATCTAATATTTAAAAATATAATTTATTAATCATCAATTATTTTTAAATACGGTTACTTCTCTCTCTCAGAGAATAGTTTTTTCACTTTTCTAAAGTAATTCTAGAAATATTCATGAAAAAACTGAAATATCTATTTCTCTGTTTAGCATTAATTAATCTATATAATTATAAAGATTATTATATATATTTTTTTGAAAGTTATTACATCTGGAATAACACTCTTCTGGAGATTTCATTGTACAATGTCCTCCTCCTTTGCAGTTCTCTCACAGAGTTTTCTTTCAAACCGGTTTAAAGATTCGCATAAGGCTTGGCTAAATTCAATGCCTTCGTCGAAACACCTGGCAAGGCCGTCTAGGCCTGTTCCAAAAGATTATTTTACATGAAAGTATCGAACGGACTCGCGCGTTGAAGAATCGTTGAGATTGTGACAGATGCGGAGCGTGGCAGAAACCGAGAAAGTGCAGGCAGGTGGTAGGCAAAATATTCTCTCTCTCTCTCTCGGATATATTTATTAAAAGTGATTAAAAATTTATCCGTTACATCGACTGGCGCAGAACCAAGAATTTTAAATACGAAAATAATGCACATTGCAATTTTTTATTCAGTGATAGTAGTAACAAAAAGTCTCAAAAAAAATTTTTACGAATTTTTTATGTGATAGTTTTACATGTCACTCTCATTAATATTATATTTAAATTTAAAAAAATTTTAATAACGAGATATCTCAATTAAAATTAAAATAAAATGAACGTACGGACAACGACCTAGATTGAAACTCAAGCAATTTCGTGTGATCAAAGATGA